TGTCCCGCGATCGGGGGCCCAGGCACGAGCTTTTCACGTGGAATACGTTTGCGTATCGACGGTGGCGGGTCGGGGCAGCGGTACTTTCGGTTAATGACATCGAGGTCGAGCGTAATAGGGTGAATTTCGAGGCTGCTTTGATGTCGGTCTAACCAGACGCAGCGTCACCCCCTTCGGATCGACGCCCGTTGAAATATTAATTAATCGAGGAAAGACAAACGTAGGCGCGGACAGCGTTCGATTATTTTCGGTCTGGCTCCAGGCGAGCCGAGGCTAATTAATTAAAAGTAGCCCGTGAGAACGCGAATTGTTTCCTTCCACTCTTTCCCGATCCTGGAGGAAATCGAGCGTGCGACCCCCGCCCAGCGATTAATCGCGCCCACCGTGCCGGCTTGTATCGTTACTGAGGATATCCTTCCGGAAGCCCTTCCTCGAGGCGTCGATAAATTCCCTTCTTCCAGAGAAACGATGATCGCGTAACCCGTCTACCCGCGTAACCCGTGATGAAGCGCTGGCTGAGGATGTTCTTAGTTCTTATCCATTGAATTACTTTTTATTTCAGACAGAAAGGGGGTGGGAAGCGAAACGGGGGCGAAGGCAGCAGGTGCTCAGACTCCAGGAAAACATGTATCTCGAGGATTGAATTCGACTGGAATTGTAATTAATACTGTCGAGGTTTCAGGTTGCCGAGAATCCAGGGATCAAGTGAATAGAACCATCTTGTTTGGGAGCAAGATGGAGAAAGTGACCAAGCAAGTCCTCCGTGGATCCATATTTCTAGAGGTTTTGGGATTCCTTGATGTGTTGCTTAAAATATTTTTTAGATTTAAAGGTCCTACATTTTACCAATGAAATTAACGAGGCATCGCCTTTCTAAACATAACGCCGACTTATTAATTAAATCATTCCTAATTTCATGGATGTATCTCGATTACTTTAGGTTTCCTGAGTGGTCGATTTGAGGACCAACAAAGTCTGACAACATCATCAGAGAGTATAAATTCGAAGTAAGATACTTTCAGTAATTTCGCTCAACTTCCGTGGTTTTCCATCGCTGGCTTTTCCGCCTCGATGGCAGAGTTTTGTTCTCCAACGTTGCAAGCGCTTTCTCGGTCGTATCGATACATTCCTTTTTCGATTCCTGGCACCGGAGGCAAAGGAGGTTCGAAAGTAGTTGTTAGGTCGAAGCAAGAAGCAGCGAAAGCGCGCGAAAGCCAAGTTTTCAAGGAAGAAGGCGGAAAACGGCAGTTGACGGGGCGATTTATATCAACCGATAGACCGAATGGTGTGTGCTTGCACTTTTCAGGCTCAGACCGCAATTTACATTTCAAATTGCTTCCGGAGCGCGTTTTAAATTTTTAACAATACTCGCAGCTTCTCTTCCCACCGCGGAGACCTCATCAACGAATTCTGCGTTACAGTTGAAACTCCCGCTCGTCCCGTTAATTACGCATGCTAACGATTGTTAATTCCCGCTCGTAAAATAGTACGCGTTGTTCGTAAGCGGATAAACAATCACGGCTGAGGCTTGACAATACCGCGGAAAATCGTTTCAAAAGAAATTCGAATATCAAGCGATTGTTTTGCGCCAGCCATGCGACGACTCGATACAATTACACTATTTAAAACGCAAGGATTTGTTGTCGATACTTTGTGAACGTTGCTTTCCCCAAATACCTTGTTTCAATTGTCGACATCGTTTCTATTGTTCTTTGTCCAATGACTCGTCGGGAAATGTAATTGGACAATGGAATTCGCTGAATCGATGAAGTGATCGTGTAACTGCGTAACATAAGGCAGTGCAACCATTTGCGAACATTTATTACTGCAAACTTTTATATCATTATTCTTGATTATTACTTCTGGACTCCAGATTATAATTTTGTATACCGAACAATAATTGATCCATTTAAATAAAACTTTTTAAGAATAGTAACGTGTGCACTGACAATCTATATTTTTGATTGAAAGTAACAAGCATTCAGTGTTTAGAACTCCACATAATATAAAAACAAGGACAATTCTGTGTTATCCTTGAGCGTGGGGAGAGGAGAGTCGAGCGTTAACAAACGTCTCGAGGAATCGAATTTGGAATCTCTCGAGACGGGCGGATGCGGGATCATTTCCGATTTCTGCAGGCGTCTCAGAGACGTCGCGTTTCGAAATCGTCTTAAGTGTCCGATAAGCAGCTAGTTATTATCCGAGCCGGTTTGCACATCCGGTTGCCGAACCGTTGCAGCTGAGGGCCGATTGCACAAATCCGGATTATCCTTCGCCTGCGAGGATAATGCTGAAGATCGTTCTGGGGCTGATGCCGTTCGGGCGAAATTTATGCATCCTGCTTTGCTCGTGTCTTGACCGAGCTGAGAAACAATTGGCGGGACTGGAAGTCCGTCGAAGAAACAATGGAGGTTAGTAGAAAATGACGATTGTCGGAATTGGTCGCAAGAGAAACATTTTAAGATTGAAAATCTTGTACTTTTGGTGTAATAAGAAAATCGTTGCGAAATTTGAAAGGGCAATGTGTCACGAAAGTAAAACAGATGGTGGTGTTTAAGTGGGGGGTTTATGTTAGATAGTTGAAGGTAGGTATGGGAATAATAGAAATAGTCACAATGGCAGGTGGGCTGATGTATGTAGATACAAGGGTAAATTCAGAAAACGTTTACGGACATATTTCTTTGTGTATGTTTCATTGTGTGTATTCTGAGACCAACGAGCAAAAATAAAAAAGCATTAAAAAGATCACGCTTGAAACATGAGTTTCAATTTCCTTACTCTTGCGTTCTTGCGAAGTCTGTAAATTTTTATTAGGAAGTCCTGCTGCAAGGAATCGGAAATCGATAGTCACTTTAGTAGTACAGTATTGCAAGTTACAGTACTCGTCATGAAAGTGGCGGGAATCCAATACGGCGGGACAAAATGCAAAAAGTGACTGGATTTGAATGAAACTGAGTACACTGGGGTTTTTTGGGGCGCTGATTGTAAGTCTGTACTTGAATTTTGAAAATACTGAACTAATATAATAGATTGACATTTTCATATCGTTACCATTTCCCAGTAATCAATTTTCCAACAGATCGATCGGCTATTCGGGAATGTCGTTGCTGAAAAACTCGCGCGTAATGTGCGACAGTGTAAAACAGAAATGCGCTCCCCAATAAATTGAATTAAATAGCTGTTTGTCGTGGCGGTGGCGTCGACACACGGGCAATATTATTTTCACGCTGAATTGATCTTTTGATTAAACCAAATATTCGATAAGCCGGAATTAAAACAACCTGCCCTCCGTTCCGCATTGCTTCATGTTTCGATAATTTAACGAATGCGACTTGATTCGGAACGGTGATCCCAATTTCGACGAATTGTACTCGTTGGTCGAGATGGACAATGTTTAAAAAGAGTTATTACTGGTACTCGAAAAAGGTTATTGCATTCAATATATGTCTGGTCATAGTCGAATTATATCTCGTTAACTCATCTTCTTAATTTCTTTACGTTGTTTTATGTTCTGTAGTTTCGTGGATCTTAAATCCTGTAAGCGTTAAGAGGGGATTTTCTGAGGCTTCTTCGGGTAAAATACGCTCTCTTGAAATTGTTTAAGAGACGGAGAAAGTAGTAGCAGGTGGAAGAGAGGCATTAAGAGCATAATAAATGGAGCAGAATTTGAGTCTAGATAACTATTAGAATGAAGGCTAACGAGAATTTAGAAACGAATACTGTCTCCATAACGAGTCCCATAATTAACAATACTGTCCTATTATAGTAACATAATCATAATCTTTCAGCGTCACGGTCCCCACTTAAACGAATTTATTCTCACACTTACCGAACACCTGCCGAATTTCGCCAGAAAAGAATGAATTTCGACAGAAAAGTAAATTCACCCATCTTTCCCAGCGACCCTCTCCATTATTTAAAACAGCGAAGATATTAACTCGGGACACACCACATTTCACTCGTCTCGGTGAACGCCACATGCTCCTAAACTCTCGAACGTCTCATTTTTCATTACTTTTTTCGACCGACGTCTGTCCAATTAACGAAATGAAATTCGTCAGGAGGTTTCGCAAGACGGGGCCAACCCCCGAATATTTCACAGACGATCCTTTTTTTTTCTCCACCGCTACGAAGGGCGGCCATCGTTCCAGGCTTCCGCCGTTTCCACGGCTGCAACGAAGCGAAATGAAGACACCCTGGTCCCAGCGGCTCGGGCGCGAATGCTGCAGATTACCGTGAAAAATGGCTGCTCGAAATTGCTTCGTGTCTCCTTAATGCTTCTCACGCTAATTACCCCGCAGAGGGATTTCATTCTTTCATTGTTCTCGTCATTTCACGCCGCAGTTTTGTCGTGGTTAGAACTAAGACTACCGTCCCTCCCTCTGTACTCTCGTTTTTACGATTCAATTTCGGACGATACAGTTTCAGAAGCTGTTGCGAAGCATCGTCGATTGCTCGGTATTGTGTTAAACACGCCTTAAGATAGCGAAATGGGGACAAAGGGAAGATGAGAATCTGGAGGTAGCGCGCGGAGTAATTTCGAGGTAACGTCAGAAATGCGGAAACAAAGGCTCGCCCCGTTATCGTAAACATTCTTTAAGGGAGACCGGCTTCCACCGAGATAAAGTAACGTGGAATTTAGTATCTCATAATGCCCCGCTAAGTTACGTTCTCCCCAACTCGTGTCTTTCTATTTCTTAACCCACCCCCTGGGCTCGTCTTCGCACCAGAGTTAATCATTGAACCCACAATTTTATTCTGCGTGGAGCACAGTCGTTCCCCAATGGAAAATGGCCGCGTGTTTGATCTTTCCAGCGAATATTAACGTCGATGAGTTCATTAGTTGACGGAAAAATTGTAATTGTGGAAATCATTCGATCCTCCTATGAACCTTTAGAAAAACTAGGAGATGGCAAAAGATGATGGTAATTGCGTTAGATTCATGCTCAATTAGATATTTATTACTTTATTTTTTATATATTAACAGTATAGAAATCCCAAAATACAGTAAAAAGTTACAAGTGTAGTTTCAGAAGTTGTCTGAAGATAATCCAGATCACGTAGTCCATTTCTAATCTAGCACTATCAATGCCAGCCTGTTTGGCCTGTTCCGCAATGTTTACCACGTGTTGGTTCGTATAAACGTTGTCATACAAGTCGAAGTATTTAGGAGAGCCTACCTCCTTAACGAAAGCGGCAAACACTGGGGATTTCACCATTTTGCTCTCCAACAAATCCTCCATCTGTTTAATTGGAACTGTAGCCTTGAGGTCTATCGCTAAACCATCAAGTCCACCTGTGATCTTGTGGAAAGCAAAAGGAGTGATGGGTTCAATTCCAAGTGCCGCGTTCAATTTGTTTACTAATAAATAGATGTCGAGTCCAGCGTTCTGCATGTAGTTCATTAGATCCTTCGCCGCAGGGTGGGCTTCAAGCTCTTCGATGTACATTACCGTTTCCTTGGAGTCTACGAGTTTTATGACGATTTGGAATTCCTTGTCTTGGGCTGCGTAGGCTCTGAGAACCGCCATCACGCGATCCACTGGTATTAGGTCCATGAAGTCCTGCATTTCCTTGGCGAGTGCACCTGTGCCTGTGCTTGGAACTGTGACGTGCACAGCGCGGGCGTTCAGGGAGCCGGCCAGGGCCAGAACAGCCAGTACTGACAGAACGAACTTCATCTGAAAAGAATTGAGAATAAGTGGATAAGAACGAAGAACGGAAAAAGAATTCAAATCGAAAAATGAACGGTTTAGGATCTTTAGAGAATTTTCTTTGCCGACAAAATAAATTCTATGAATTACTCAAGTGACACGAGCAACACATATTATTCCGCGAATTATGATAAATTCCAATTTAAATCTATTTAGTTTGGTGAATGAGGTAATTTAAAATAGTGGTCAATTTATAGAACAGTTGAAGATGAATTTGTTGAAATAATGAGTTCCTTCTGCAAGGAAGTCTCTTTTGAGCTATGTAACACAAGTACAAGTAGAATGTACTCACTTTGCAAGTTGAAGACTTTCCAGGACTGATGATCAACGAATGGTAATGCTCGATTCGGTTTCGCTGTATCTTATATACTTACTGATCGAAATCAGTTGGCGATGCGTGATAAGATTATAATGATTAATCAGTACGACATTATCAGCAAATAAATTGTTGATTAAATAGATTATACATCCATGTATAAGCTTATTCATATACATTTCATTTCATAATATCGAAACTATTATTTAATTTAGTCAAACTTCTTCAATAGACATAAAGTGTACGAATATTTGTGGTATTGACTGTACATGTACTTATGAAAATATTCATAGGCTTACTTGTTGAAATTAACATTTTACCGACCGGTAGCCTATTAATCGTTTCTTTTCCATGACGAGCAATACTTTCTTATTTATTATTGAGATAGTACGATCTTATTGTATGCTCCCATTATTATATGAATTATGAAATTTTATATAAGTATAATTCATAAGACGATTCTAATAGGTAATATAAATTTTGCGTAATACTAATATTATGAAACTGAACAATATTACTAAATTTAAGAACATACATGTCCAAACGCTATCGGTCGTTAATGTGTTAACATGAAATCCAATATAATTTGGTAGTGTTGAAGCAGCAAGGTTTCGGGAAACAGTGAACAGTGACAAAGTCGCCAAGGAAACCTACACAATGCCTAATTTTCCTTGAATTTTTACGACTTTCCTCGTCGAATTACTCTTCTCTCCGAAACAGAACTGAACGCATCGACGAGCAAAGCGCCGAACCGACTGCACAGCCCATGAACGATTCAACGGCACCCTTCGTCGACGATTCGTCGCCGTTAGGAAAAACTTTTCGCGGATTTGTTCCCAGCCCGTAAAGGCAGAGTGGCCGTCCCGTCCCTGTTTCGGTACGATGATTATGTACCACGGACGTTTGGCTCTTGAATCTCTCCGAGCAGCAGGATCCATTCCACTTTCGCGTGCACGCACAGTGGGTCTGCATTATTGCGGCTTATCCGGTATTACGCTTATGTGACGCAGGTAACATCGCAGCCTTAAGCGGGCACGGTGTATCGAACACGGAATTACCTCATGAATCCTCCTACCCTGTGGAAACTCCGCACACAATGCTCGAGGGTTTCCTGTGAGCCAGTCGCTGTTGCCCCGTATCATCCAAAGCAACCCTGATAAACATTTTTTCGTCGTATCCTTCGCGATTCTTCCTTGCTTAATACCCTTCATGTATAGGATGGACCGCCGAGCCTGGGCTGTGCCATGGAAACGGTTAGAGATATGAAAACAATGGTACGAGGCAAAATCGAATGGGGGTTCCGGGCGCTTTTATCGACGATTTCTTTCACCAGGTATGGAAGCACTGGATGGCTGAGGGGAACTGAAAATTATTTATATTGTTACGAAGTTGTTAGGAATTTTATTTTATAAAAATAATTGTCTTTTTTAAAAACATTGCTCATTATTATATTCACTCACATTTCCTATAACATTTTCTTCATTTCTTTCTTCTTGCACTTACCGCCGTAATCATTGTGACATCCATCTTATAGTCACACTCATAAATTTAGTGTAAAGTTATAAATTATTCTCATCTCTCTTTATTTGTCCCCAGTTCTGTCTAACTCCCATATACACGAATGAATTAAATATTTTTCTTTTCAAAGAGTACCAAAACAGCCCATGCTTGCAAATCGTTCTCCACCCTCGTTTCGAAGTTCCTCGAAGCAGATCGTCGTTCCAGCCATGCCCCAGCGACGAACAGGCCTCTCGTAGGTGTTCTGATATTCCGCATACAGCCTCTATTACGGCATTCCGATGCTCGTGGCAAGAGGCACGCACGAAATTTGTTCATTCGGTCGACGACGTTAGGCAGGGTCAGCTTGAGAAGCTGTCGATGAGTTCATTAGAACCGGCTGCTTTGAAGGGTGATCGAAGGAGACCCCTTGGAATCTTAGAAATGTTTCCTGACGTCCATTACGCATTATTCTGCTTAGCTGTGGGTGGAAGCCGAAAGGGAGAGACAGAATCAGGAAATCGAACGCGTTAATCGTTCGTGGATAATCGATCCGCCTAATGCAGAAGATTGGTGTATTCTGATGGATCGGCAATACTTTATGAGTACCGTCAGGATATGAAAATGGGTGTGTCGAAATATATTTTAGGTGAGATTCGTACATCATGAAGCTTAAAAGATGGTAGGAGTATCGAGAGATTCTTGGAGTTATTTTTGTATTCTTGGATTTTGGGAATAGTTTAATTCTAATGTTAGCATTTGATTACTTGAAACTTTTTCAAGCGACCTTAATATACTAGATTGTATATTAAGAGATGATTAATGCAGCCATTTTAATATTAAAGACTGAACATGGACACCTACTGCATACGATGGGTTACAAGCAAAGAAGTTGAATTAACTTTCACTCAAGTAGCTAGTCCATTAAGAACCTCCATAAAGAAGAAATTCTAAATACGAAATGCACAAGTGTAGATACTAGAGGAAACATTCAACACGATAGAATCCTCAGAAGTAGGCGGAAGTCACCACGACGACGGCTACAACAGGCCACCCAGGGAGGCCACCACTCATGATCAAAAAGCGATTTCAGTCGAAACCCCGAGGATACCAAACAACAGCGACATCGATTGATCGAGTTGAGCAAACAAACCTAACCCGGGACCAGTGTCCGCGTCGCAGCCGTTCGGATCGACGAGCGCGTAAAACGTAAACGCAATCACGCACCCGGAGCTCGTTAACCAGGAAAAATGTACGAGTTTAATTTTCATATCGCGATCGCTCTCGGCCGGGTCTGTATCCTGTCGGTTAACGACATAATCTCGTTAAACAACGACGTGATCCGACTGCGAATTCGACTGGGATTGGAGAGCCAGCGAGTACTGCTGATTACAGACCGACTCCCAGCATTCTAACAACATCCGCGCCCACCCCGCGGATGTAACTCACCCTTGCGTTGTACGCCATTTTCTCCCAGATCTTCCCTGCACCTTCTACGACTTGGTGGCTAGCCTCTGTTAGACGCGTTGGTACCAAGGTGGAGATATCTCCAAGTGAAGAGAGACTTTACCCTGTAAAATATAACCCTTTCATATTTGGAAACTGATTATGATCTATACATATGTTACTATAGTTTGGAAATAGCCATTTGGCGTGTCGTCCTAGCTGTTTCATGGATAGTTTTACTAGTCTATAGGGTCTTATGTAATATTCATTCATTGAGACAATCTGAATTTAGCACTTGCTTTGGAAGCTTTCTTAACAGACATAAAATAAAGTGCTTTTATGATTTTTTTTCTACGATGCTGATTCTTTCATGTCCAAATCAATAGGGGAGGAAATTGTTTCGAAAATATCATACACTTAAAAATTACAGAATACAACAAAAGAGAGAATAAAACTGGTATTTAAGTGGAAATCTCAAGGCTTCGTATACAGAATATCCCCTTAAGCGTCTCTCACATCAACCGATCGCTGTTGCCAGCAACAAACGAGAGCTCTGCCGAGCGCCTAGTTTGCGCTCCTAAACCCAGCAGAGTGCCTAATTGAGTACAATTTGGATTGATTAAGGGCCGTGGGGAAGATTGCGCACGGTATAGTCGTTGTCTGTTGACTGGGGACTCTCTGCAGTCGCGCGGATCGCGTTTAGCTCGCGTTGCGATCACCTCCATGCTTCGGGACGGAAACCGCTCGGGCGTTGAACCGGTACTTTGTTCAAAGTCGCTTGGGTTTTTTCTCGAAGGCTGGAGGGAATTGTAAGTTTCCGTTTCGTCGAAGTTTCAAGCATTCTTGCCGAAGTAGTTGAAGTATCCCGAGTGATTGAGTACTCTGCAAGGTGAGAGAACTTCTATAGAATTAATCGGTGGCGGAGTTTTAGAGTGTAATGAAGGATGACGGCGTTAGCAGCTTCTGTTACGTTTCGGTCCTCTTTCTGTAATTTCCGGAAATACGCAACGGAATTTGCGCGAGAATAGTTATCGTACCGTATACTTGGAATCGGAGATCCGAATTATGCTATTTACAGTTGGATTGTAAACGTGAATCGGTAGCTTATTTTTGGTTGCACAATGGTTTTAAACGGAAAAGAGAACGAGAAATTGGAGGATTAAATGTTTTCGATTGAACGAAAATAGTGACTGGATTATTAATCATTAGATTTTTGTAATGTTTCGCTATGTAAAGTAAATCTTTTCCTCTTTAAAGTATGGAGTAGTAACGATAATCTATTTGTTAGTGCATAGAAGTTTGGAAGCATGCAACTTGGTCAAAGGTTTCCTTCAAATAATTTACTACATTAGCTAAGTGAACAATCCACTCAATCTAATCAAAATCGTTGAAAACAAGTAAAACGTGATTTGTACGGTTCGCCAATTTAAAACGCGCAGAAACCACTTCAACGTCAATTTAATTAACGCGAATCACGTAAAATAATCGTAATGGAAATATTTCGCTGATAATTCTAAAGCGCAGAATTTTCCACTTTTCTCAGAGGAGGGGACACCTCTCGAAAAGTTAAAAAATTACTCGAATAATCTGTCACGTAAAACGTATCCGAGGACATCATAAAGTGTATCGTCGCGTCTAACATTGAGTCGTATCAGCGACCTAATCGCGCGAAGCTCTACGCCATTCGCGAGGATTTGCGCCGCCCAATCGCGAAATCGCACTCGTTATCAGTTCTCAGCAATCTTTCATTAGAATTTTTGCGTATCAAGAAGCCAAACAAAGCATTATCGCCTGGCTTGGTATTAATCGACACGCCACAGCGTCGTGGTACCTGCGAAGATTGCAATTGTTTTGCGGCCGATCACGTACGTGCAACAAGTCGTATCGGATATGTGGTATCGAGAGGAGGAGTTTGCGTTCCGAGAAATAACCTATCCGCGTTGATTATTTCACGTATATATGCGAACACAGCTATAGGTTCGCCATGTCGTTTCCGATCCGCGTAACCACCGTCGAGCAGTAGACAACGTATTTCTTGGCTAATTTTAAAAGAATTCGGGTATTAATATTGTTGTTAATAAAATTTATTTCTATGGTGGAGACCTAGAAATGAAGCTGGATACGTTTATGATAGAAATGCGGTTATAATTTTGTTGGGAAATGTAGTAAACGAGTTTTCTTAGCGCACTGTAAATGATGTTAGCGACGCATGAAATATTTGATCATTTTCAGTGTTTCAATTTCTTGTGCAACTTCTTTTTGATACTTTGGAATTTGGATACTTGATTTAGACGTAAATTTTCTGATTTTACTGATATTGTTTTAAAAAATGTTCATTTTAATATTTTTTAATATTCAAATCATATTTATTAGTCTTGATTGAAAATAAATTTCATACTTTATGTCTTCTTATAGAATTCTTCAGACTGTAATCAATTTTTTATCAAATCGAAAAAACAAATTGGTAGAACTGCAGAGAAAATTTAATGTTTTAAAGTAAGATATATATACTTCTATACTTCAAATGTGAACGAATTATATTACAGTGGCATAAATAGAATTCTTTTGGACTAGAATGTTATATCCGTTTTCAATTTACTCCCATTACGAAGAGATTTCCGCAATACAAATATTTGAAACATAAATTTAAACATCCCATTATACGCTCCAGCTACTTAATATAAAAATATTTGACTTACCAAAATTGTGGTGCCTGCTGAGAATATCGTTCCCATTTTGAGTGGTATTCGACATGTACACCTCGTTTCTGAATTTCACCGTGGTCTGGCCGTGCACAAAGGATGCACAGCGTTAATTAACAGAATCCCGATGGCGGGCGGAGCAGTAAAAATAATTTACCCGCCTCCGTGGCCATTAGCCGACGCTCGTCTTAAGCTGCAATAAGGACTCCAATTAGCTGCGGGAACAACATACTCCGTCTCCCATTTACGACGGCATAATGCTACCTGTTTCACGCGAAGCCGCGTATAATTACAAACTAATGCTCTCGAGCGTCCGCAATCGTGGCAGGTGGCACATAATCGCGGCCTCGTAACCCTCGAATGAGTTAATCCGTGAGACGTCGTGGCGTTTCCCGCGACGCCTGCACCAGGCGGACGCCCTCTGCTCTGTCACCGTCGCAGTTGTCGTCGACGCCGGGTGAAATCGTCCAAACACGGGGCGACACTTAAAAGTAGGCACTGATCCGCTTACAGGATTTAACTCTAGAAGGACTAAGGGAAAGAGAGGAGCTCAACGGTCGCGAAATTCTAAGAATATGCTAGCTCCCTCGTGTGAAATATTTGCAAAATATTATTCATCGTCGCTCAGTGTCTATGAGATTGATATTCAGAATAAACTGGAAGGGAAGTGATAGAAGAGGTAGATTAGAGGGTAAAATCGAATTTATAGAAGGAATTGGGATATGCCTGTCGAGATTTGATTAGCTGATTTAATTTTAGAAGGGTTAAGGGAAGGAGGGCTGACTAAGGCATAAAACTTTTAAAAAGCACTACTTTCTTTGTATAAAATGTTTACAAAAATATTATTCATCGTCCCATATGTCTATAAAATTAATTACGAGATTAATTTATAAGCTGGTTCTGACTTAGCGAGAATACTGATTAACAAAAGTGACGGAAGAGTGTACTGACGTGAACATTTACATCAGTGACCGCAAAACATGAGAAATGTAAAGACAATTTTTGAAGTTTTCTAGTGTCTAATGAACTACTTACTCGAGTCCAACATTCGTGAATTTGTGAACTATGGCTTCGAGGAATCGCGACTAATGCTACCTGGAATTTGTAGAAAGAACAGAACTATTGAATGTCGAGAAACTGATTGGAAGGGAAATTGGTGGAAATGTATGACGACACAGATAAGAGAATAAACTACTACTTATCGATAGAGTTCGAATGGTACAACGACGTGACAGCTGGCAACGGATATGCCTCTCGAGATCTGATTAGATTAATATAAAAGATTACAATAATATTCTTTAAGTCTCACTTAACATCAATTTGCAGATAATTCAGAGGAAAATTTGGAAACGTCGGCAACACGTCATTAAATAAATATAAAGATATTTTTAACGAATATTGCGTCCAAAAAGCTTACTTCTTCCTAACTGTAGCGTGATCGATTCACAGAATCTATTCGATATAAATACGAGTTAACAAGCGAATCAGATTTGCTAACAAAATTAGTATATTCTCTCTTCTTCCTCTTATTGCTAAGAAAACACCAGTTTTCAAAGTTCGCCCTCCAAAGATGGCTGACGTGGGCTTAACGAGTTGTCCTTTCTCTCGATCGTGACTATTAATGGCTCAACGCCTTTTTAAAGTTAAGCATCTGAGTGCTAAGTGCCGCAAATCAACGAAGTCGACGGAGGGAATCGATCGTGGATAGTTTTTACGTAAACGATAGTAAAAAAGCTAGGAGGGTCCCATTTTCCGACATCCCTGATCGTCGTTACGACTGGTTCGCTGAACGGCTCATTTTATTCCCCGCCGTGAAAAGTATCGTTTGTCTCGTATGAAACGCCTCCCTCTATCTCCTATTCTTTTCGTGCTCGTCGTTCCCGTTCCTGGTTCCCGTGTTTTCATTTTCTGCCTCTTCCAAGATTGAAGGGTCGACGGAGTGGAAACAAGGGGCGACTGTGTGCCTTCTTTTCTTTTTTGTACGCCGGTCGAGTGGCACCGTTTACGGGGTTGACGGTACGTACAGTACATATTATTGCGAGAACGACTGTCGTTGCGATAAGCTGTATGCAAAATCGTTCCTCTGGCACACTCGTTATGTAAACGTACGTGCAGTACTTAGCAAATAAACGGAAGCTTGAAGCGGAATCAATATTCTGCTCACAGTGTTGTTTACTCGATAGTTTACTCCTTGTAGAGTTCCTTGTAGAAACGAGGTCTTGTGGATATTTTTTGTTAGATCTGGTTTATTAGCAATTCAAGCATTCCGAATATGATTTCTCTTTCTGACATGGGCTTCGAGAAGCATTCGATTTCTTGTGAAATATCCTCGAATAGACAAAAATAGTAAAATTGAACGTCCTGTATTTTCTAAACTAATTCGATTCATGAAGTACATCGTGTCCCAGTTTCACAAAAATTCCTGACGTAGATCGCAAGGAGCGATCGAATCGACGCCAAATGGCGAACGCGTCGCACGCGAGCACCCGATGCGTGTCGAAAAACGCTCGACGAACGTGATCGTTGGTCCACCGGGCGAGCAGCGACATTTAATAATGTAGAGTAGCGGGCTAGACGCTGGGTACACACCAGGATTGGTACACACTGCTTTCGGGCGTCTTCAATATCTGAGCAGCTCAAGAACCGCATTGTCTAGGGCGGCGGCCCAACCTCGAGCTTTATGACTCTGTCCCCCTTTGTCCCTCTATCTATCCACCTTTCTCTCCAGCCAGCCACCGACAACGACGACGATGACGAGCATTATGCCGCGGATAATGGTCCAACGGGTCGCCATTCACTTCCCCGTTACACGTGCAAAGAAACCGTACTTGACAAACACCCCCGGTGGATCCTGATTGAATTATGCCTCCCTCGGCCCAGGGAGAACTTCCGTCTTTCATCGGGACAAGGAGACTCGGACGCGATGCGAAACGAGACCAAGGAATTGGGGGTGGTTACCCAGAATGCCCCTGCGCGCAGTTCTTTTTCAAAATCGCGTCGTCGAGGACTTTCGATTGAAATGTAAATACAAGGCGGAGAAGAAAGATCGCTAACTTTTCTCGTCTATTCCTCTCGCGGATCCATTTTCCTTCCTTTGGACCCTGTTGAAGTCCCCTAACCCCGCGTGACAGCTAATTTTATGCCGCGAAATTCGCATCCACAATTTTTTTATATTTTTGGAAAGAATATTTGCTATTTAATATTTAACGTCCCTTGGACTTGAATTTTCTCGAGGATAACGTGAAGGGTTATATGTTTCATTGGTTTGTAGTTGAAGAATGACTTAGGGTGTTATATAAAATTTAATACAGTTGAGAAGAAACGGAAGTTACGTTCTGAGAAAAGTGTATTATTTTTTGGAAAAACCCTCCCTTGGTGGTAATCATAGTTTAATTAATTCTAGTCATAAGCTTCGCTTATTTATCACACTGTATCACAGAACTAGATTCAAACAATAATTTTGTTCCTCCCTCCACTGTGCATAAGGAATGCAAGCTAATATTAATAAATGATAATAACTTCTTCCCGAAGTGTTGATTTTCAGAACAAAAATGGATGACGTCCAAAACGTATTCGAGGGTGGGAAAAGACGACAGGGCGCACGTTCCTCTCGGCGTCCTCGACGTTCGGGCACGCAGGAAACGCCAAGTCGAGGGACCGTCGACGAGGAGTCCTATTCCAATTCCAGCAAGTTAATTGGAATTGTTTGCCGCAGACACAGCGAGCCTATTGCCCTAGCACGCTTCCGAGCCCTATTCCTCTCCTTCAGCAGCTTCCTCTTACTCGACCCTCTACGCCCCTGCGACCTGTCGCAGTCGCATGGCCCCCAACGCCTGCAACGGAATTAATTCCGCTCGCGAGTGGCGCGTTTTAAATTTCTCCTTCGAGTGGATGAACCCAAACCTCGATGACAGTTCGAGAATCGCTGATGATTTGATTCTGTATCGGGAACCATTTTTGCTTCTTAACAAAATAACATTAATACTGTGCTGCACGATTCTCCCAATTGGAATGGAACATGTACATTGTCTGTTATTTAGTACGTGTAGAAACTGTGAAAACGAAATTGAAAAGTATATTTTAACGTTTATTATTTGTTTGTTTGTGTCGTAAGACCTGTACTGTTTGCGTTCTTACCTCATACATCGATAATATGGAGTGTTGTTTTTCTGTTACATCATTGTGCCTCCTTGTTATAGATACGACTCAGTGCAGATTGAAACAAGTAACTACTACATAAGAACTGTTTAGATTACAAGAATTTCTTTGTGTCCTAAGCTAGGGGCTCTTATCTTTATCTATCATCGAATAAGGTTACGTATGAAAATGCCTTTCCACAAAAGTGTTAAGTGACGAACGTAGTCCATAATATACCAGTTTCTTTATTATAAAGTCACCGGCGTGCCAACAACGTAATTTGTCAAAACGATGCAATCCTCGATATCTGTTTAGTCCCACCTTCTAATTCTCGATTTCCGATTTGTTTGCAGATGAAATACACGTTGACAGTGTTGGCCGTTCTGGCAGTGTCGAAGACCCTGGCCTACAAAATCCCTAGCACAGGCACGGGTACCCTCGCCAATGAATTGCAGGACTTCCTTGATCTGCTACCAAAGTGCGACGTGATAGATCTCTCCAAAGCATACGTGGCCAGGGACAAGGAAATCCAGGCAATGAAGAAGATCATAGACTCCGAGGAGTCGAAGGAATACATCCGAGACATCTTGAAATATCCAGAAGTGAAACGCCTATTGAATTATACGCAAGAGCGTGGCATTGACACCAACGAATTGCTCCAAAAATTGAACGAATCATTCTACATCGAGCCAATCACCCCTTTCGCAACCTCCCGCAACATAAGCAGCGGTATTAACGGGTTCGTGAACAACGTTTTGGAGTTGGTGCCCGTGGAAATGCTGCACTCTCTGTTCGAGGAGCGAATGAGGACTTCCGCTGTGTTCTCCAGCTTTGTAAAGGAATTAATATCGCCCAAACACCGAAACGTTTATCGGTTAGCCATGATGGATAAGCGTTTCTTAAACCTGGCAATGAAAGCCGAGAAGGCTGGCATCGACAACGAGACATTCATGAAATACTATTTTTGCTTTGTCGCGGGACGCCCTATCGTTAACAATTGAATGTACAATACGTGAATTTATTCAAATGACTGTAATTGTATTTCTATAATAGTTGTCAGTAGCATCCATTCAGCGTGTGGAATAATATAATAAGTATGAAATTGTGCATTGCAAACCTGTTGTGAACTTTTTTTCCTTTCGTTCTTCTTTCTTCTTCCTGAAGTTGTTTCTTGTATCAAGAACCACAAGATGAACCACATATGAATTCTATTCGATACATATTTAATTGGAATTAGTATCACTCAATACCATTCCATTTATATTTACTAGTGATATAGAAAGGAGAATTCTTCTCTAAGCAGACCTTAAAAATAATTTAGGTAGCAAATTAAGTCAATTGCCAGACCTGATACTTGTCATTCAAATTACATTCTCGTAAATCTGAGAATTACTTTTTTCCATGAGCGGATTTGAGATTCAAGTGATGTAGCTTTTCAATAATATCCAAGAATTTCTACTTGCTTCATTCGTGTTAGATAAGATATAATACTGAAGCAAATTAGTTTAGACATAGTAGGATACTCGAGGCTTGTCCAATTTTTTTCTCTAAGAACCACACTAATTACCACAGTAACCGATAGGATTTTTTATATATAGATGTGTTCTAGTAGTTTTAGAAAAAGTTCAATGCTATCTTTGATTTTTGTGTAAAATTATACAGGAGATCTAAAATTGTGATTAAAGAATAAAGGTACGTGGACACCATTTAATCAACAGTTTATATGCTGATGATGCCGTACTGATTAATCGTTATAATCTAATCACGGATCACCAATTGATTTCGGACAGTATACAAGGTGCAGGGAAACCAAATCGAGCATTAATATTCGTTGACCATCACTCCTGGGAAGTCTTCAACTTGTAAAGTGAGTACATTCTACTTGTGTTACATAGCTCAAAAGCGAGTTCCTTGCAGAACGAACTCATTATATCAACAAATTCATCTTCAACTGTTCTATAAATTGACCACTATTTTAAATTACCTCATTCACCAAAGTAAATAGATTTAAATTAAAATTTATCATAATTCACGGAATAATATGTGTTGCTCGTGTCAAAAAAATTCTCCAAAGATCCTAAACCGTTCATTTTTCAATTCCAATTAACTTCGTTAGTTACAACACTAAAATATCGTGTAAAAAGTAGGAGATCCGTCTTTACTTGAAAGGAACGTAGTACATGCCATAAAGAACTCTGCTTTGACTAAATTCAAAGCAAAATGTACTTTTACTCCAAAACAACTACTGATATGCTTTCAGACTCAAAAAGGTAACTTTATCCTAAGCCTGCTCTCTACCCCCACAAATGCAGAAGACACCATTAAAGCTTTCATTCGATAAAATAATATACATCTTTTTCCATTCGTCGTTCTTATTCACTATATATTAACTTCTTTCCAGATGAAGTTCGTTCTGTCAGTACTGGCTGTTCTGGCCCTGGCCGGCTCCCTGAACGCCCGCGCTGTGCACGTCACAGTTCCAAGCACAGGCTCAGGTGCACTCGCCAAGGAAATGCAGGACTTCATGGACCTAATACCAGTGGATCGCGTGATGGCGGTTCTCAGAGCCTACGCAGCCCAAGACAAAGAATTCCAAACCGTCATAAAACTCGTAGACTCCAAGGAAACGGTAATGTACATCGAAGAGCTTGAAGCCCACCCTGCGGCGAAGGATCTAATGAAGTACATGCAGAACGCTGGACTCGACATCTATTTACTAGTAAACAAACTGAACGCGGCACTTGGAATTGAATCCATCACTTCTTTTGCTTTCCACAAGATCACAGGTGGACTTCGTGGTTTAGCGATAGACCTCGAGGCTACAGTTCCAATTAAACAGATGGAGGATTTGTTGGAGAGCAAAATGGTGAAATCCCCAGTATTTGCCGCTTTCGTTAAAGAGGTAGGCTCTCCTAAATACTTCGACTTGTATGACAACGTTTATACGAACCAACACGTGGTAAACATTGCGGAACAGGCCAAACAGGCTGGCATCCATAGTATTCCAATAGAACAGTACTACATGCACTTTATTGTCGCCAGACAAATTCTGAAACTACACCCGTAACTTTTTAACTGTATTTTGGGATTTCTATAATGTTAATATATATAAAATGAAGTAATAAATATTTAATTGAACATGTATCTAATGCAACTACTATTACCCTTTGCTATCTCCTATGCAGTTTTCCTAAAGGTTCACAGACAGATTGAATCATTTCCACTATTACAATTTATTAAGAAAGTTTCATGGATTTCTTTCACATTAGTGCAAAAATATCAAGTAGTCATCTATGTTTTTACTACATGCAAAAGACATTATTCTAGATTAGTATTGAGAGTCATCCGAAAAATGAAATTACTCAACTTCTATTTCCATTTCTAACGTGATTTGACGATGATGTCATGTGTAATCAATTTTATCACTTCTACAACTACGTAACCATTAATACGCCTGTTGTTCAGCAGGTGAAACTACATAATCATTCCCAAAGTAATCTATCCCATTTTGTAACAAAGTATCGTTTAATTGTTATAATCTTATCACCCGTCGCTAATTGATTTCGCACGGTATATCAGGTGCTGCGAAACACAATCAAGAATCCTTATTCACTGATCAACACTCCTGGGAAGTCTACAATTTCCAAAGTGAGTACATTTGTGTTGCGTAGCTTAGAATTATTTTAGCTAGCTCTTGTTTGTCACCTGTCTGCTAATAATTCTCTCAACATTCACTATCTTCTGATTTCTCTGCAGATGAAGTTCGCTCTGTCGTTACTGGCTGTTCTGGCCCTAGTCGGCTCCCTGAAAGCCTACAAAATTCCAAGCACAGGCTCAGCTCTTCTCGCCAAAGAATTTCAGGATTTCTTGGATCTGGTACCACAGGATCGTGTGATGGCCATTCTTAGAGCCTACGCGGCACAAGACAAGCAGTTCCAAACTGTCATGAAACTCGTGGACTCCCAGGAAACGAAACTGTACATCCAAGAAGTGGAAGCATACGCCCCGATGAGGGATCTATTGGCGTACACACAGAGAGATGGTCTCGACATCTATTTAATGGTGAACAGACTGAACGCGGCTCTTAAACTTAAACCCTTCGTTCCTCTTGCTTCCCTGAAGATCACTGGTGGACTTCGCGGTCTTTACAAAGACATCGAGGCTGTGTTGCCTGTCCAAAAGATGAAGGATTTGTTCGATTATAAAATGAAGAAACCGACAGAATTGTTTTTCTTTATGCACGAATTGATGTCTTCTAGATACTTCAAATTGGCCAATTTTATTCACACAAACCAACACTTGTTAAACATAGCGCAGCAGGCCAAACAAGCTGGCATCGATAGTACCCTCATTGAAAAGGACTACTTGTACTTTATTATTGCTAGAGTACTTCTGAACCATTAAATTCTATTCCAGTTGTTATTCTTGTAATTTTCTAACTGTGTTTTGGCGTTTCTATATCGTTAATATGTAACAAGAAATGAAATAATAAATAGTAAATTGAATAATAAATATCCAATGCAATTTCTTTGAGTTACAAAATTTGCAGACGAATTGAGACATTTTCTATACCTTAATGCATCGAATGAGGATGTTAAGTATATTGATAAATAAAAAAATATTGACTGTGTTACCTATGTATTGAATTCATCGTGTGAAGATAGAGTTAATGGTAATTACAAGGTGTCAGATAACACTTATGATGTGATGACTGCGATTGCTGCGTTATCAAATAATGGTGTGTAGTAAGTAATGTGTCAAGAAGACCTTATCTTTTTTGCAGTAGTTACGTGACACACCTTCTAATTGAAATTTTATTTACTTTTTTTGAAGACACATTGCGATTTTCCTAATTCTAAGTAAGCAGAAGGGTTTTCCAATTGGGACATCATAATTTTTAATTTTAAACGAAAGTATACCCATGCAAGTGTTTATCACGTCTACGTTGGCAGGTGTATTTTGTTACTAAAAAACAAAATCTATATTCACTATATTTTACTAAAGATTCATCTGAGCATCCTAGTCGATAGTTTTTCTAAACTAGTTATGAACAAATACGCTATCTTTTTGCCAAGAGTATCACTATAAAAAGTACCTTACATAAATCTAATTACATGTGCGATTGATAGTTACTACGTGCATGTATACAAATATTTTCATTCGCTATCTCAGAAGATAATTATTGTCATCCATTTCCTATCAACGATTACACGTGTTATCAGCAATTTTCGTGACACGTTCACGTATTTGAGTGTTCTCGCAGTAAATGACAGTGTGACGTTACTACTGTGTATAATTCCTCGGAGAGTACACATGATTCACTAGGAATTCGAATCTGGAAGCTCGATTGTTCGAACAGACAATATTTTGAACTTCTCAAGAATATATTTCTTGTACACAGAAAGTCGGATGAAATTACCGCATCGAGCGAGCGTAGTACTCTTTGAAATCTCGCTCGTCCTTTTTCGTTTTCCGACATTCACGACAGATGTGAACATAGCGAGGCTTTCCTAGACGTTGATAGCGCGACGTCGAGTTCGCGTCTTTGACGAAAATAAAAGTTTTAAATGGCGCCTGCGTAGTGAATTTCACAATACCCCCGGACCATTAAATCTTCCATATACAGCAAATTTAAATTTCTCACGGGCGCCAGTTCTTGAGCGAACGACGTGTCCCCTTTGTAGAGAGAAACCTTGACAAAGAAAAGTTCCTTCGACGCGCAATAACCTGCTCCGGGGCTTCGTTAAAGATGACCTAAAACGTGGCTGGCAAAGGAAATGTTTATCAACGTGTAATGGCCCAACGAATCTGCCTCGCTACTCTAAACGACATCCTCCACTCTCCTGTAACCTAAGTACGTAAACTTTTACAGAGTTCCCCACCACTTCCAATTCGCAACTCATCCTTTTTCAACAGAGCTCATCGACGATGTCTTATTGAAGAAAACCATCACAGAAGGAAGAAAAATCCGTAATAATGAATCCACAAATTATGCTCATGAGCGTGGTGGCCACTGTCTCGGTAGCTTTCATCGGTTTCGTTGCTTATCGAGTCGGTTTTCGGTCCAACGATCCCGATTTCACGAATCAGCTGCCGCTGAAAGACAACAGCTCCCTGGAGGAGGATCTCAAAGATATCATGGCATTCGTGCCTCAGGACGATGTACGGGAAATCATCCACAGGTAGAAATCCTTCGTTCCTGGACTTTCAATCGCTATTTCAATCAATCACACATTCTATTTGTTTGAGGCTCTGTTTACTTTATAAATATTTCGGTGGACGTTCTCTCTTTGGTTAGGGCAAATGGTCGAACAGATATTTCTAAGATGGTAGACTCTTTGATTTTTGTAGTTTGAGAAACAGTTTATTCGAATAGTCTACGTTGGAATTATCTACAGTCAGTTCCATGAATATTCGTACCCTCTATGTCCATTGAAGAAATTTGTTTAAATTAAATTGTATATTTGTATAAATATGTTGATGTATATACAAATATATACATGTGCAAACTTATTCATATACATATTTATAATGAAAAATTGATTTGGTAATATCAAAACTATTATTTAATTTAATTAAACTTCTTCAATAGACGTAGAGGTTACGAATATATATGGGATTGACTCTAGAAAATTTAAATCAAACAAGAATTAAAAGAATAAAATAATAAACACATTAAAAAGCTTATTGAAATATCGATCCACATGCGAATACATCAAAACATATCCCCACATATATGCACGTCCCTTATGCATGTCTCTTGAATCGATAGATACATGAAGTACGACACCCAGATCGGAGACACCGTGAGCTTCATCAACGACCAAAGGCGATTCATATCCAGGGAGCTTCAGAGCATGCCCCAGGTGGTTCGTATGGTCAGTTTCCTGCAGAAGCTCGGTCTGGATGTCAACTTTTGGGAAGAAAGCGTTCGAAGCTTCTGGAAGACGTCGCCCAGATTCATCAGGAACGATCCACAACGGGCGACGGGCGGCCTTACCGTGATGATCGACAAAATCTTGCAAACGATCCCGCTGGACGAGCTGCACGAGCTTTTGCGACAGAAGTACAAGTACTCTGGCAGCTTTCGCAGATTTTTGCTATTCCTCCGGTCCAAGGACTTCGCGGATTTGTGTAACGCGCTCGAGAAGAACAGTGTGCTGCATCATCATTATTTCTGGGCCAAAGAGAGCGGGCTTGAGGTCACGTTCGCAATCGAGCTTTTGAGGGACCTCTACGATTACCTTACGCAGTCGTTGGTCACGTAGAAATCCTCTGTTTTCTTTCATCACTAATAAATAAGAAGGAATGAAAATTTGTATTATTCTATATTTATTACAATTTTTTAAATTGTACATTTTAGTTCATTTTAGATAGATAAGCCAGCGTAGGTTCATATCACTATATATCGCGGATAAAATTTAATTAATGAATTCGAAAGAAACGTGAGCTAGATCACATTAGTCGAATCGAAGCTATCAGCGTGGTGACCGCTGGCTCAGAGTGTCTTGATAAACACCTGAGTGGCTCCTTCTATCTTGTAAATTACGAATCACTTCATTATTATCATTCAGAGAACCGGAAAATTTCGGTCAATAAATAATATAAAATTCGCCATAGTACATTTTCCAATTCAGGAACACAATTTCATAGAATTTGAATCATTCATAATTAACAATGCCTTTATAATTATCAATCCAATTTTTCACAAATTTAAAGAGCAATAATCACGGCGGATCGCTCGATGTCACAGAGCCCTATAAATTAATTTAGCTTCATTTGCCTCGCAGGCCGATTTAACGTTTAAGACAATCGATTAACGTCGAGAAAGGGAACAGGTACCTCTCGCGATGGTATGGTTTGTCGAGTATTGCGAATTTACATTGAATGTCTAAACGCTACGTAGGTACAGTAGAACGTCGATTATCGCAACAAGTGGACAGACATTTATTGAACTTCGCCCGATAAATCGGTAACAGCGTTCCCGTTCGATTATTCGAACGAAACATTCCCATCTCGAATACGACGATTTCTGATTAAATATTTCTGTAATCGGAGTATGGATAATCGTTGTTCTATTGCGTGTCATTTTTAGATGATAGCGAGAGTTCGATGGACAAGCTCGATGAAAATGTTTTAATAATTCAAATCATGGTGTGAGAGTTACGGGTTCTTTTGTGAGTAGTGACTTGGTATCGAGTATCGAATGTTTGTGGCTACGATGAAGGATCTGCATGTCGGAATCAATGGCATGGAGAACTTGTGAGTATTGATATCGACAGCCATCTGGTGATGAACATGGGAAATAATAAATAATAAATTTAATTAATTGCTACATAACTCGTGCATATTACAAGTTGCATAAAATTTATAAAGTTAATTACTGTATATATTTTACCTTGATTGTCAATTAAACGCATTGATACAAAATAAAAGTTACTATGATATCTATTCTCTACGTTATATTCTTGTGCTATTTATTATTTTCTGTCTTAATAGGCTGTTCTGACAAAATGTTTTTAGATTTCAAATAACTTATGTTTGTGGGATTACTATCTACCGACTATGGTTTTGTATTATCTGTAAATAACAGTGGCAATACTTTTCCTGGATTTAAATTAAATTGAATCTGTAGAAGTTAAGGCTGATTTATAATATTTATTTTTACGTCAGAAAGTAGAACAACTTGGAAGAATCTGATTGGTTAAGAAGACATATACTTATCGATCTCGTGTTAGTATTTCATTGGATACTGATTTCAAGGCGATGTTATATAGAACGACGATGGAAGATATGTGTGCATAACAAAGTTGGAGGTGTTCGTGATAGAGTCACCGATTACGATAATGATAGCGTTCAGTTGAATGACATTTAAAGCACCGACACAAGTAACATGCAATGTATTTCCATATAAGAAAATAAAAACTGAAAATTGTAATCTAAAGAATTAGTCATACGATTGATAGAATATATTCGAATAAATGAATAATGATATTAAAAAGAAATGATAACAAAATTCAGACACTACTTCTCCTATAAAATACCTATAAAATATTCGAACATTATATTATCGAAATAGTCTTCAGCCTGGTATCAACGGGCACCGTTTTAAATTCCGTTTACTTCGCGAAGGCTGATCAGTTTCAACCCCTATCAGGAACGGTTCTTCGTTACCGCGCCGAAAGTTTCGCCGATGAAACGAGAAAGCAAAAGGGCACCACGTGCCCCGAATGGCCCGGAGTACTCGTAGCCGTTCGATAAATAAAAGAGGACGAGGTTCGAGCACGTGGCGCTAACTTTTAAAAGGAAAGTAAGGGGTTGTCTTAACCGAAGCGTCTTTGTAGCAGGCAAGGGTGGGTCTCGTTGCACGACTCGACGGAGGGTTAAGAAAAAGCAACGAGCGGTGAAACGGGTCGGTGCCGAGGCGCTGTTCTAATTAAAATTGTTACAATTTAATAAGTCTCAGAACTCACTATTGGCGCGTCGTAATAGAAAGTCATAAGAAGAGCGGAGAGGGTTGAGACAGGAACTCGGTCCGAGGATCCGGAGAACACCCGTTAAACGGAAGGAGAATGATCGAGCGAAACGGAAAATCCCTGTGAGAAATGTTCGAGAGGAGGACAAGAAAAATCGACGAGGGTGAGTAACGAGGAATAGGGGTGACGACGATGTAAGGGGTGGAGGGGGCCGGGTTTCTGAGGAAGAGTAAAAGGAAGATTGCGGAAGCGAAAGGCTGGAACAGGTAGCTGCGAGAGGGTCGTAGAGCGAGAAAGCGATGAAAAAATGAAGACTGAGGAGAAGACGAGAATCGAGAACAAAGCGGCGCAGCTTTGAGACGCGACTGAGAAATCGTCGTTTCAATCTTTAAACTTTTCCACTCAATATGGAACGCACCCTCATCCCCTTCGACCCTTCAATTCACCGACCGAACCGTGCACTACATTGTTACTATGCTGAGTTTACGGTTCTTCCAGTTTGTTTTTCCAATGAACTTGGTGAACTCTTCTAATACTTTCCGGGGGAAATAGAACTATTGCTTACGCTAAGATATTTCCTGGGTAGTGAAGTTTACTGGGTAGTCTAATTTTATCTGTCCTGAGGAGAAGCTAATTATTTCTATTTTATTTTATGAAATGAAAATGCAAAGTCTTATACTATGTATCATAAGATAGAGTTAATTATTTCTATTTCATTTTATGAAATAAAAATGCAGAGTCTTATACTATGTATCATAACACGAAGCTAATTCTTTTGAGAACTAAAATGAATGGTTTAGGAGGGCTTCGAAACAGATGGAAACTTTAATTGTACATACCTTAAGAAGATGTCAATTGCCTTTAAAGCAAAGTAAATTCATTAGAAACGTTTCGAAATACTCTACGAGTCAGATAGAGAATCTAATTGTTTCCATAATAGAATTTATTGAAAATGTTTCAAAACAGTTAAAATGTCTAATATATCATAAGAAAAACCCAATTGTTTTTGCATCAGGTGAAATAAATTCAATATAAGAACTTTGAAACAACCATAAACTTTATTCTCACGTATCATAAAAAGAACCAAATTGTTCCTGCAACAAGTAAAATACACAGTATCTATAAAGTCGAATTTTACATATCATAAGAACAATCAAACTTTACATACAATAATTGAAATAAATCGATTGTGAATCATTTCTGAGTATTTTCGCGTACATGAATACCACAAGCTTCGCAATTCAAGGAACGGTAGGCAAATCAACGCCAGTTATGTCCTTGAATATCTGCTTAACAGGTGCAAGGTCCAAGCCATCGTCGAGCGCCTTTTGTCTCATCTCCAGAAAGATGGGTGCACTGTAAACAGCATTAACGATGGTCTGGAAGTCCGGTGAGCGGAGTTTCTCGATAAAGCTCTTGAAATCTGGCGAACTGTTCATCTTCTCGTCGAACATGGTCTTGAACTGATCCATGGGAAGAATAGCGATGATCTCGTCCAGCATGGCCTTCACTCCGCCGTGATTGGCGTAAGTTCTATACGCAAAACCTCTCTTGGGTGGCACGTAGTCCTCCATACCGAAGATCTTGTGGACCTTCTGCAGGAAACTAAAGATATCCAAACCAGCGTCTTTCAGGTACAGAACCAGGTCTTGGTACGCCTTCAAGGCCTCGACTTGGCGCACCAACTCGTGGAACTCCTCGCTGTACATGTCATTAATCGCTACCTGAACTTGGTCATCGTCCAAATACCTGAGAATGATCGACACGATCTTTTCCTTGTCGACGAGGGCCTCGAAGTCATGGATATCCTTGGCAAGTCCCGTGTCCTTAGAGAATACCACGAAGGAGTTCTTGAGTTCGGGGAACTCGATGCCCAAAACGGTGTAGATGATGTCCTCGATCAGAGCCACGTCGATGCCCTTAACGCTGATCATGTTACGGAATTTCAGGTAACGTTGATTAGAGTACAAGGTATTGATGAATTTCTGGTGATTGGGGGCCTTCAGTTCCCTGACGAAGTCGCGGAACGCGGGTGAGTGCCTCATCTTGTAGACGTAACCGTGGATAAAGAGGTCGTAGTTGACGAGCGCCTTCACCTGGTCGAAGTAGCCCTTGATTCCACCTGTGATCTTCTGATCCGTCAGAAGGGTTGGCTGGAACGCTGGGATGCCGGCGAGTTTGTTCAATTTGTTCAGCACGTTGTTGATGTTCACTCCGTTCTTCTGCAGGTAAGCTGCGAAGTTGCGGAACTCTGGGATTTTTTCGATTTCTGTCAGCAACTCCTTGAAATCGTTGGACTCGAAGTACATCAGAAGTTCTTGGAACTCGGCATCCTCAGAGGCGTACTGAAGCGTGAGCGTCATCACTTCATCCAGAGGGATCATATCCGTGAAATACTGGATGTCCTCGTAGAGAGGTCCCTCGCCGAAGGATGGGAGATAGTGACAATTGACGGTTGCGACAGCAACCAAGGCCGTTAGGGCTACCAGTGTGAAACGCATCTGGAAGGAATTGGATCATGATCAGAAAGACTCAATTTAATATTCGTATTACAGTAACTTCAACTTCAATATTTATACTACCATCAGTACCTTCGATGTTCCCATTATCATAAATACTTTCGAGTTAGAAATTCTCTCTATCGAAAATAGTACAGCCTTAGCATTTTTACGTTAATAAGTAACCGTTAGAATATTCGTAATTTCATTAGCAACTTTAGCAGTCATTATTTAATTAAAAAAAAAAAAAAATACATCAAGTTTAATATTCCAACTACATAAATATCTGTACATTCATAAATAAGTTTAACTTTACTTTGTATTGTTAGTGAATATCTCGAAGTATAATGCGCGAATAAAATAATAATTTTAGGTGTCGATCAAGGAACTTACCGTGACAGGTCCTATCGATGAGTACGACTGACTTTCGGTATTCTGCGAACTCATTTTATATGTTCCATATCATCTGAAGAAAAGCACAGGTGATCTCACACATTTAGGAAAAATGTAGATAAGATCGAACCGTGCACCTGTGCCGATTAACACACAGAGATCGATAAATAGGTCCGTTGGTGCCTTTATCTTGATAACATTGTAATTTATTGGATAAAATGATTTTGTTTTAGATAAAATCAGATATTTAAATACATTCTGTGTGTGTTTTCTTCAGATTTATCGATTGTTAGTGCCGTGAGGTATAGGGGTGCGGATGTCACGGATACCATTAGGTGACATTAAAATATTTACTAGACTTTTGTATAGCGTTTTAGCAAAAATTAATCATTGCGATTGTTATGTAGAAATACTTTGGCAAGTTTAATGTCGTTCTGTTTATTTCTTCAACTTTGTTATCGTACTCTGTCAATAATATAAAAGAAATCTAAGTATTTAAAAGCTTACCAACGTAAAAGGATGAAATATCAAGAGAGTTTCATACTCTACATTTTTATTTTCCAAAATGATAAAGCGAGGAAACCGTTGTTATTGCACAATAGATATAAAAGTGTATGGTAAAACCAGGACACCAGAATTATGAAAGATAAAAGTACTGACCATGTTATTCAGGAAGATACACAGGTGTGCGCCATTGTTTATCGGATTTTAATTAAGTTGATACGAGTCCCATATTCAGTGTCAGCTACAAACATATTTAGATAAGTTTATCATAATGTAATCGAAAGTTATGAAAAATATCAAAAATACGAAATATAATTTTGAACGGATAGGAACAGCTTCATCTGTATACTTCTCAAACTTCCATCACTATTTTTACAATAAAATAGATAATAATAGTTCCAATCACATTTTTCAATTCTATGGAGATGGAGATGGAGATCTCTTTCGAGATGAATTTTTGTTTGATGGTACAGCATCTGACAAAAAATAGAGAAGAGTTTCAACATAGCGAAGCATTATATACTTATATGGTCATCATGAAATTAGTGTAAATTCATTTATTTTTCTTTTCAGATATAGAAAGTTTTGCATTCCAATCAATTGAACCAGTTGATAAGCGATAATTGCATGCCTGTGGTGATCACCGATAAGTAAATTTATCTGATGTTTAATGAATACAGAATAATAACATTTCTGCGACAATTGGTCTCACGTCACTATGACGTATGTATATATATTTAGTACTTTCGTTAGCGTATCGCATTATATAATTGTAATCTGAAGTACATTTCGTTTCAGAACGATTAGCAGATCTCACCCCGAGGAGGTTGCTGCGAATGGAATCAGAGTTCCTTTGATCTTCCTCTATATGTATACATAGATTATACAATCGAAGCGCTTAATACTAAGTACGAAACTATGAAAATCAAAGAAAACAAACTTCCTTCGATTTCCAAAGTCTAAGATTGACTTTGCAAAGCAATTATTTGAACCAAGAGGGGTGAAGCTAAATAGAGATCGCGACACGACGTGACGTAATTGTTATTAATATTTAAGGGAATGCTTATTAATAAAAATGATTTTTTTTTGTATTTACGATAGTTTAGACATTATCGCTCTGTAACAGTTTAGCTGTCTCACCCTGTATGCTTCAAAAATTGTTTACGATCTTATAAAACACAGAATTTTTGTATTTAAAATATTTGCGTAACGCTGGTCCAGCGTTTTTTTTATCTGTCTACGTGATCTTCTCATATCTAAGAACGTTTCCTTCTCCGTTCGTTAGATTTTTGTTAACCGAAAAGAATTTTAATAATATAATTAGAATTTTAGTTTAATTGCTAACAAACTACTAAGTTCTACATATTCATCGATGTTAGCATCTTTCGCGTGTTCATCTTGCACGCGACAAGACCGCAGACAGGTGTGACAGAAACTTATACGTTATACAGAATAGTCTGAAAACAATCCACAAAGTTGTTCTCTCAGTTTGATCGAAAAAGTTGATCTCATAAAGTCAACCACTTTGAATCGCCGTATCGTCAGGAGAACTGAAATTTACATATTGAAATCGAGGAGAAATTATACACAAACAACCCCGTACAGTAATTAAGATAAGTATGTTTCATTTTTACAGCAGCCTAGTTATCGATACTTCTAATTCATACCACTAATATGATTATTAACAACAGTTTAGTTAAGTATCATATTTTTTATTTCCAGTAAATCTCCATCGCTTCATAAGGATATAAATATAAAAGAATTTATAACGTTTATTAAAAAAGTAGAAGAATCAATTTATATCTAAATTATAGTCTGTATCTTCTCATACTATAACATATGTAAAAATAGCATTACCTATCATTCAAGATTCTAGGATCAGGAATTATCATCATCAACAGAATATACAAAGATGCTCACTTATTACGTATTTACATCGATATTACATTCTTCACATCCGTTAGAATAATTTTTACTGAACCGTTTAATGGTTGATCTTAACATGGAAGAATTTCTCTATGAATTCCTTGGCGTCCTCGACATTAACCCCAGCTTTCGAGATTTTGTCGAAGAAACCGTTCCAGTTCGGGTCAGCTAAAATACCGTTGGCGACATTTTGCATCGAGGGCGCACTCAAGCGAGCGTAGAAGCCGGCGAACACCTTGGAGTGGGCCAATTTGTATTCGAACAGTTCGTGCACCTTCTGCTTGGGGTAGATGGCCTCGATATCGTCGAGGAGGCCACGGATTCCTCCCGTGATCTTGAAGTTCACGGCCACGTTGGGGACCTGGAGTCTGGGAAGACCGAGGAAGTCGTTTCCTCTGTTCACCATGAGGTAGATGTCCAGGCCAGCCTTCTGCACGTAGTTCAACAGGTCGATGACCTCGGGCATGTCCTCGATGTGCTTGATCAGAGTCGTGAATTCTTTGGAACGCATGTAGGTGACGAACGTTTGGAATTCCGTGTCCTCCGAGAGATATTGGAAGAAGATACCCAGCATCTCGTCGAGAGGAATAGCATCCACGAAGTCCTGGAGTTCGTCTGCGAGGGCGCCCGAGCCCGCGCGCGGGAATTTGTAAGCTTCCAGGGGGCTGGAGACGGCCAGGACCGCCAAAACTACCAAAGCGAACTTCATCTGCGAACGTAAGTGGTGCTTAGGTTGCGGAACGTGCGTCAGGGAATGCCGAACTGCGACTCGGACATAATTTTCTTGCTTTGATCCGTCGCGGCGAATCGCGCGAGCGATGAATATTTGATGCTCGAGGAGACGGTCGGTATGCGTGTATCGGTAGGTGAATTATTTAGTTCGGAGATGAAAGTGAAGCTTTCGGTGAACTACGGAACTCAGCAAACAGTTCGTTTAGTGGATATTGAAGGGTCACGGTAATTTGACTAACAGTTGTGTAGTTAAATTAAAAGTCTTGTATTTTTTACAATTTCTGCAAAAATTAATACAATTTGATCTACTTTTCTTTTGTTTCGAATGTAAATTTGACTATAGGACTATATCATTTTAAAACTCTTGTACTTTTTACGTTTAAATGCCATTTCTAAAAAGAAGAAGACTATTTTGAACTATTTTCTTATACATTCGATTATAGAACTGTAACATTTTGATTGATTTAAACTTCTTTTGAAATCTTACCATGTGGCCTCTGCTATTCAACTCGACTGAATGCTAATTGTTGGTCTGTCAACCGTTTATATACACGGTTTCTATCGGATAATTACCTATTTCGATAAGATTAATTCGATAACTGTATACTGAATACACAAGAGAACTGATTTGCTTAAATGACATAAGATTTCTAGATGCATCAGATAACACAAATGAAATTTTACACCAAATACTGTTAAGTACGCTACATATTTAATTATATTCAGATCACTCACTTCAGATAGCCGTTTATTACGCGAATGAGAATTTTATTCTGATAATGTTGATACAAGATAAGATGAGAGAAGATACATTTTGTATTTCTTTGTAGGGAATTCTAATCGTTTTTCTGGCTGTCATTAGCTTGGAGCTTAGGCAAGCTACAAAAGAGTTGTTTTGAGAATCAGGTCAGTTGGTTTTTGAAAATAATTCTGATTTGTATTATCTCGTATACTACGTATACTTGTAATAACCGTAATATTTAATAAATGATTCACATGTACGCTAATAATTAATTACTTGTATTGTTTACGTGAAAGTTCGATGAATAGAGCGACAACTTGTAGAAAGACAAAATTAAGTGGACATTTTATTAATAAAATAAAATCGAGAAACAAACAACGTTAACGAGATGCAAAGTCTTCATGTACCTGGAACACTTATCAAAGTGTGCACTTTTGTTAAAATATCCAAGGTATGAGGAACATTTTAAATTAACATTATCCCGTCCGGTAGCACAACTGTGGTGCCATGCGAAAACTATCACTCAGTCCTACCAGCACCAAACGAAAAAATCTCGACTTGATGTCCGGACGACATAGTGTTAACGATATAGTATCATAATTGCATCGAAGGATTGTGCATTTACAATCGTTTAGTAAATATATTTTAAAAATGTTCATAGTTATAAAAACAAAATATATTGTTTCTCGCAGTAAGACGTTATAAATTTTGAAAGTGATATTTTATTTTAAGGATACAGAAGTGAATAAGGCTTCATTTCAATATGTTTTATTTACTTTAATTTATATTATTTCTATTACGTATTCAAGCAATAAAGATAATATTATCAAGTTGATCGTATTGCGAGATATAAATATATGACACAATCCAAAACTATGATATGCTAATTTTATCGTTTGTCTCAAGTGAATGATTGTTTATCTTTGTTCTTGTCTTATTTAACTTTGCCTTATAATCTTATGTATGTATATTTGTAGTATCCGCGCCTCCCATACCCAACAATAAGGAGTCAAATAAGAACACGAAACGTAGGGTACGGGATTGGTCGCGTAGGTAAAGCGGTCGACTGTGGATCCGAGGATCGTGGGTTCGAATCCTGCCCGTGCCTTATTTTTCGTTTAGACTCCTACATATTATTCATTTTTAATCAGAAAGTAATTCTCAAGTCTTCCCTGTAATCATTCCTACATTCTTCTTAAATTATAACCATGAGCAGCAACTATTATTTAATCCCTGCAAACGTTACCTATAAGTAGTGGGACAGGAAGCATTGACAAATAATAAATATTTGAAATTTGTATATTTATTGAAAAAAGAAAAACATTTAGACGAACAACATCAAAATTTAACAATTATCATAATACAATATCAACAAATTAAGCTGGGAGGTGGACAGTGACGCCGAAGAATTGCTGAATGAAATCGACAGCATGGTTGACATCAACGCCGTATTTGAGTGCATGGGCTAGGAAACCGGGGAAGTTCGGGTCGGAGGTGACACCGTCGACGATTCTCTGGGCTGCAGGAGACCTCAGGACAGCCATGTATTGGGCGAACACTGGAGCATTGGCCATTTTCTGACGGTACAGAGCCCAAAGCTTGTCTTCGGGTATCAAGGCGTGGATTTCGTCGATCAAACCACGAACTCCACCGGACTTGAGATTCATGAGAGTTGCTGATGGTTGTAAGGCTGGAAGTCCAAGGAACGCGTTCGCTTTGTTCACCAGGTAGTATTCGTCCACGCCAGCCGACTGCATGTAGTTGAACAGGCTGACGACGTCTGGGAGGGCCTCGATGTCGGCGACCAGGCTCAATAATTCAGACGAGTGCAGGTAGGTGAGGACTTCCTTTAATTCAGGGTCGTTCTCGAGGTATTTGTGCAGGGTTGCGTCTATCTGGTCCAAGGGCAACAAGTCCACGAAATCCTGGAGTTCATCGGCGAGAGCACCATTGCCCGTACGGGGAACTGTGTAGGCATTCAGGGGGCTGGAGACGGCCAGGACCGCCAAAACTGCCAAAGCGAACTTCATCTGCGGAACGTAAGTGGTGCTTAGCTCGAGAAACCAACGGTCAGGAGATAGGGGAATTACGGACGTAATTTTCTCGCTTTGATCTGTGGCGACGAATCGAGCCAGCGATTAATATTTCATGCTCGAGGAAAAGTTTAGCATGTATGTAACGGCGGTTGAATTATTTAGAACGGTTCGGGGGGATGAAAGTGAAGCTTTCAGGCAAATGCTGAATGTATGTGTGATCAAAGATGTTGGATGTTTATTACTGTTTTACTGTTTTTAGTGAGTAATATATAAATATAATTCAGTGATACTTTGTGGTTCGATCTAAACATTACGTTTATTTGGTGTAGAAAGGTACAGTTCATAGAAATATTCATGGTATATTGTAGTAGTGACCAAAGAAAATTTGTATCATTAATTTTTGTTCAAAATTCTATTTGTGCTTATATTTTCTCGCCAACAGAATACAGGTTTCTGCGGTACTTTTACAGCAGAAACTTTTATCTTGAAGACTCTTATCAAAACTGATCTCGCGGAGCAGATATTCGAGAACTTGGGATACAAATTTCAAGGATACAATTACTTCAAAACTTTGATTACAAAAAGTTCCAAGATACGAATAATATTCCATCAAAGGTAACCATTTTATTTGACAATATAACTGAACTCTTTTTGTATTCTTTCTGGTAAAATTTCATCAAAACCGAAACTTTCACTTTCAGGAATATTTATTTATCAGAACTTACAATATGAGAAAATTTATTACAAAAGTTCCTGGATTATACAATCGTATCATAGCGAAATTTTGAACTTATCAATTTATTAAGTCTAGAAATTAAACAAGCAACGTCTAACAATACAATAATACTATAATTTATAACGAATACAATAAATTTCATCTAAAAGAATAGATGCAAAACTACCAAAAACTTAGTGGATTTCACAAAGATTTTTAAGCATAAAAGTCAAAGTATCACCGAATCACAAAGTGTATGAACTCACTATTTGTAATGATTATAATTTGTTACTTACCATGGTGTCTCTAGGAATGAACTCTTCGACTGACTACGTCTGAATATCGATGACCTGTCCGCTAGCCGTTTATATACCTATTTATCGGCAGTCCACTATACGATAAGATCAATTTGAAAAGTTTAGAATGAAAGTGATAGTCGTGCATGATTTTGTCAATCAGATAACACAAGCAAAACACTGTTTATGATACGAGGTGGCGTGAGTGGATTTGGCGATAGTAGTCAAATATAACAAATAGTCGCTTAGTAAAACTGATATCTTGGTAATATTGATAAATATCACTAAGTTCACGAGTGAAACAAAACAATTCTAATATCGTCACGAGTAGAACATTCGGTCCCGAGTTCGAAATGGCGCGAAAAAAACAAGCGATTTTAAGCAATTTTTCATCGTGCAATACGTGTTTGCCGAGAAACCGGGCATTTTTATTTTAATATTCACTACCAGACGAGAAGAAAATTTCATATTTTCAGCTTCCGCGTAATGGAATACGCTCTCTCACGAACGTTTAACGTAATTTCGCGTCCCTTCCACCCTTGGTTTCTCTGACATCAGCTCGCAAGGCACAGAGGGTGCAGGTGGACGACACGGGAAACGACGGAAGCACTGAAGAGGCCAAAGGATGAACTCCATAATATAAATTCTAAATGATATTACGTCACTCGTGCCGGTCTTGTCGACGGGCGAACAAAAAGATTTATCCACTTCTGCGCCCTTTCACGTCGGGGGTTGCATCCTTCGTCTCGTCAGGGCACTGTGTTGCAAGCGGAACCTTTGCTCCTTTCATTTCTCGAGATTGGAAACGTTGAACTTACGTACTTGGTAGTAGAGCGTGCAAAAATTATTCTTGTCTGCCAAATGTTTTGATGGGAATGATTTTAAAACGAACTTAGGGGAATTTTTAGGGGAAGATTTCTCCCTTGGAAATAAATCCTATAATCTCTTGGTTTTCTCTTAGGATCTACAGGAAAGTTTTTTATTTATAATCTTGTTAAAATAATTCATATTAATGTGTAGAATTCTGTTACATTCTTCTCGAGTTTTCCTGTGGTCAGAATTTGAGTTACAAAAATAGAACGTTATATTTTATTTGATTTTCCTAGTATGTGGAAATGTATTGTAGACAAACGTGGAGCTCATAGGCTAGATTCTCAGAAATCTATTGGTTCGATGAGCTTTAATTTCCTGAGCACCTTTATCAAAGTATGGTAAGGCTAGATTGTAGATATGATATATGAAATCTAGTTGCTTAATGGTCTCAAGATGAAGGTCCTCTTCAAGAGATTTACAATTTACATGATAATTAAAGATATCAGTAACACATGAGACTTTTCCACATAATAAAGGGGGGAGCCATCAAGAGCTTTTAAACACATTGTTCCATATCTATTCACTTCTACCGCAGCAAGCTTACCATGAAAATTTCTTTATCAAAGCTTCAAATAATCATGTCACGAGGAAACAAGGTTTCTAATTTGACATTATTTTTAGACATTATCGTGGCTATTTAATTGGCGGGAAAAGTGATCGTAATTGTTTTCTATAGGGTCAGGCCCGATCGTTTCGCTCGCGTTCAAGTTGCAACGACGAGTGGTATCAAATTATTTTCTCCTGCTGGCCAGGCAAACTTTTGCCCGATATTATGGCAGCACGTGGCGGTAACAGCCCGTCGTGCCAGGCTCATCGTTACCAGCGTAACGGCCTCGAGGATTTTCACGAGAAAACAAGGAGCAACTAGGAAAATGTGTTCCCGGTTGCGCGCCCACCGAAACCCTCTGTTTAGAGATTCCAATACCTAAAGCGAACTTGTCTCGTTGAAAAGGCGACGATACGGTACCCTGGCTCGTGTCTGTGTTTGTTCGCGATGGAGATAAAGACAAAAGCGATGCTTAAATTATTTTTGAACGTTTTTTCAAGGAGTCCATTAGAAAGAACTTCAAATAATGATTGCAGAACTTTACAGTAAATGAAGTAATTATAATAGGGTAGCTGTTTCCAAACGGTGAGAAAAGTTTAACTTCAATTTTACAGATCAAATCTGCGAATGCTAATTTTGTCTTGTATATTAATATATTTGATAAGCCTCGATAACATTTCGATCGTATGTCGATCCTTATCAGTCGCGTTATTTCCCACAGCTGTTATCGATTAAATCTGAAGAAGTGGAGATTTTTTATTTCTTCTTCCCTCTTATGAAGATACATGTCGAAGTGCCAAAAAAATATATGGCTAAGAAAGAAGAATTCAATACATTTGTACAAAGTACTTTATACGAAAGGTTTATCCAAATGCCAGATATGGATAAAATTTTATTCCAGTAACACACAAAATTTATCTATTTTAGATACAATGTTTTGCTTATATCTGAGATTTGTACGCGAGATCGTCTTGACAACACAACGTCCGATACAAAAAGCTACGATTGACGGTCGCTCGATAGAGAAGCTCGATAGAGAAGCTCGATAGAGAAGCTCGGTAGCAAAAGAATCTGTTCCACTGGGCGTAATCTGATGATGAGAATCGGTGACTAGGCGAAGGTGGCAGCCAATTGGAAATCTCTTCCGTTTGATTAGCCAAAAAACGAAGTCGGAAAAACGGACTGGTCGAAAGAGACAAAGCGTTCCTTTCCACAGTGTTCACGGAAGTTTAGCTCAGTCCACATGGCACACAGTATGCCATTTTGTACTTAGTTCCATATTAATAAAAAAGAAAAATTTGGTGAGTAATTATAATTGTTATTCCCGAATTGAAGTGTTTACAATGAAACATACATAAAAACGATTTCCAGTTTGATTAAGTTTCTTTCATAAAATGATTGTCTATATCAATTATAATCCAGTGCTGGATTGCTAAGACAATACATTGCGAGCTTTCAGAGGGATCAAGAAGGAAGCGGGACGGTTGGACCGCGCGGAGGGAACGCAGTGGAAAAGGTGGTCGTAACAAATCCTCCGCGAGTAATCGAGGTCGTGCCTCGGCTAGGTTTTACTCTCGAACACTTAACTCTATTGCGATTGGATTCCCTGTCGGGGTCTCTTCGTCCTTCTTCCCTGCGACTTCGTTTCGAGCTTCTGCCTTCTCCTTCCGCAAGGAGTTCCCTTCCGCTTCCGTCCTCCCACGACCGTTTGCACGCCCACCCATATCGTGCGACGTCTTGGCTTCTTACGCGCGGAAAACCTCATTGCAAGCGACGCGATAAAACACCCTGGAGACTCACGAGATCGCCTCGCTTCCGATGAACTTTGACACGGTATGAATGGGTGCGCTATGAAGGGACCCGACCTTCCAGCGACGTGCACTCCACGCCTGCAAGAGCGTTCGATGGCCTCTTGATGAACGGAATGGCGTTCCATTAAGGGCTGCGAGTCGGAAGACGTTGGAGCTTAAGTGAGTCGAAGAACTTCCGAGCTTTTTTTTTAATGAATTTCAATAAAAAGTCGAGCTTGAGAGGAATTCATGATATTAAAGTGGGCTGTGACAGACTTGTTTTGTTGGTTTGTTTGGTAGTATTTCTCAATTTCTCAAAGCAATACAAATTGATTTCGTTTACATGAACTCATTTTAATTGCGTATCTATCGTATGTATTCTAAAAATATATAAGAGTAAGTAAAAATAATTCTTTCCCCTAAAATTTATTATTAAATCAATCTCTGTTCAAGTACTTCGTACGTCTGTTTTATATTGTATTGATGTTCGAAATTCGTGTCGGGACCAGACTTATAGGTAGATTATCAAGACGAGATAAGAATTCGATTTCAGTGAAACAAAAAATACGATCGGAGATCTTTCGAGAACGATTCTTACCTAATTGGCTTGCGATCGGCATTATCATAAGTGGCCTATTATCAAAGTTTTTTCCCCATGTTTGCGATAGGATTCGATTCGAAAACGTGCAAGCGTTTCAAAAATAATTGCAGGCGATGGAGCCATCATCTCGTTTCTTCTCGCAAATATTTACCGATTGATACCAAATTCGAATCATCAATTACCACGATTAAATCTGCATATTCCTATCTACATGATGTGATAAACAAATAATAAACGATCTTTCTACGTTCTGTGATTGTCTTCTTAACTTTCCATCCGTCTTATCAGTATTACTCTTAGATAAATATGACATGAGTTCAAGTTATTTAACAACTACTGTAATTGATTTATCGCAACCGCAATTGCTATTTTTTACTTTGTAATCATAAAACGATATCAAATTTAATTACCCTACTAATACGGAGTATAATGATTTCGATCACTGAAATGTTATTGGTTATAAGTTATAAGTGATTAATAAATGAAATAATTTAAACTATTTATAATAACACTGTAAATAGATATTCAGCACTACCATGGAATCTCTATAAAAAATCAAATATTATTTGGTGCGCAAGGAATCGATAAAATCAAGTGCACCCAGCACCAATCAATCGACATTTACGTCCTTTTGTTCCCTGATTCCATCATCCTAAATAGCCAAGGTATCACATGCTACGATGACGAGCAAGAAGCAGGATTTTCCGTTGCCCGTACAGAACCAGACGCGTCGGGTTAAACGCGTCGGGGTTAGCAACCCCCGTTGCGCGGGCTCGCTTGTATTTCAATGTCGGGACATCCGGTTGGGCCGACGAGTGATGTGGTCTGCTACCCTCGTGCATCCGGCTGTCGCCAAACAGCGCGGCGTGTGCACTCGAGCCCGTTGTGTGTTTGCGCGGCTTCAACTTTCCACGACTCCGCGCTGCCCAGCACTGGCTGTCGTGGCGCGACCGCCCTGACGCACAAATCCCTCGTGAACTGCGTCCTTTTAGCTTTGAACCCACAAAGCAACGGCTCAGGGAAGGCACCGCAGCCCAGCCGTCGTCGACAGCGAGTACTGGCTTCCGTCGTTTTTCGTTTCCTATTGGAATTGATTCCCAAATTATCGCCATTTCTGTATATTAGGTTGTCCCATAAGTTCACGCCATTCATTCTTCTACTACTCAAATTAATACATGAAACATACCCATAAGTGTTATAAAAAGAGGTAATCTCTCTCGTTTTACAATGTTTATAACTCAACAATTATTTTCTGTTTCTA